ATTTCCTTTCTCTTTAAATCATTTTTATATTTGTATTTGTGTTTGTGAATATACTTTACGAAACACAAAGCACAGACCTGAGCTTTTTTATAGGTTATCTGCTACTATTTTGTCATTGTGTAGCATCCAGGGGTTTCAGAGCATTTGAAAAACATCAATATGTCTAATGTGAACACGCACAAGATCACTGTAAGCAAGGGTGTTCAGCTGTTTTGATTCTTGTCATCCACAGTATTGATATGAGGTAGTTCTGTATTTAAAAAAAAAATTGAGATGAAGTATGCCTAAGAGGGTCTCAGTTTGCCACATAGGGCCATAGCCAGTTAAAGACAGGTATGTCTGTGTGTGTCTGGATCATTTGTTGCTGCAGGGTGGGCCTGCCCCTTATGCTCCTCCTGGTAGTGTCTGACACACTACAGCTCTATATTATTATAAAGCAAATGAAAACGTCACAGAGCCTAAGAAACTCCCAGTATTTCACAAGACAGGCATTGCAAAAGATCTTTGATGTATCATTTATATTATGTATACCTGGGGAGAAAGGGAGCTGGCAGAAGATGAGCATTTCCTTACTTTCTCTGTTATGGAGGATGAGTAGCTGTGGTAGTTTTCTCCCAACCCTTTCTTTCTGTAGGAAGAAAAGGGAGAAAGTTACCTCTGTCCTGTGGTCCCCACCCTCCAGTGTGGGGAGTCTGCTTGGATAGCTTCCTATAGAGGAGAAAAAGCACATAGGAACTTCCTAGTTGGGACACCTGTTCTTTCCTTGTCATTCAGCAAGAAATACTTAGCTGCATTAGTCTGAAGTCAGGCAGAAAGCAGGGCATGGTGGCACCTTAAAGACTAACTCATTCGGAAAGGCATTCACTTTCATACTAGGTAGCAGCTTCTGATCCAGGTCCCTCTTGGCCAGGAACTAAATCTTCTTACTGCTCTCACTTCAGATTCTGTGACTGGTGAATCTAAATGTTGTGAAAGGTTTAAACAAGTGAAAGAAGAGGGAAGCTTTTCAGGATGGAGGGAGGTCAAAAACAGGGACCTGTGCTGGGCCCAATTTTGTTCCAACGTTTTTATCAGTAACCTGGAAGTATGGGTACACAGTGAAATCTCCATGTTTGCAGATGACACCAATTTTTCTGGGTAGTCAATTCTCAAGCTGATGGAGAGGAGCTTCAGAAATATTTCATGAAGATAAGTGGCTGGGCAAAAGGCAGGTGAACAGAAGGTAATACACCTGGAGAAAAATAACCTCAACTATATGTACACAATGCTGCGTTCTGAATTAGCTGTTATGACTCAAGAAAGAGACCCTGGAGTCATTGTAGATAGTTCTCTAAAAATGTCAGGTCAATGTACAGTGGCAACCAAAAAAGCCAGTAAAATGTTGGACATCATTAAGAAGGGAATTGAAAACAAAACAGAGATCATCATCATGCCATTAAACAAATCCATGGTGCACCCACATCTTGAATATTGTGTGCCATTCTGGTCCCCACATCTCAAAAGGAATATAGTAGAATTAGAAAAGATACTGAGAAGGGCAGCAAAAATGATCAGGGGCATGGAGCAGTTGCCATACCAAGAGAAACTAAAAGAGCTAGGACTCTTCACCTTGAAAAGGAGAAGGCTGGGGGGATATGATAGAGGTTTATAAAATCATGAAAGGCATGGACCAAGTGAACAGGGAATTGTTGTTCACTAAGTTCCAGAATACCATAACTAGGGGGCACTTGCTGAAATTAGTAGGTGACAGGTTTAAAACTAATAAGATTAAGTACTTTTTTATGCAATACATAGTTAACTTGTGGAATTTATTCCAACAGGAGGTGGTGCAGGTGGATAGCGTACCCAGGTTCAAAAAGGGACTGGATAAATTAATTGATGATAGATCTATTAATGACTTTTGAACAGAATGGTTGGAAATGTTTTCTCTGGCATCTCTAGACCAATGATGGTGGATGCCAGGGAGAGTCCCGAATAGAATATAGATCACTCTAGAGATATCTGGTTCAATGTTCTCCCTCTACAGCAGTCACTGCTGCCATTGTCAGAGGCAGGATACTGGACTAGATAGAGCCTCAGTCTGACCCAGTATGGCACTTCTTAAATTCTTGTGTTTTAAGCTTGGGGGAGGGAGGACTGAATTTCCCCTAAACCAAGGAGAAGGAAAAGAATATGCTTTCAGCTTTTAGCAAAGGAGAAGGAGTTGGCTTCTCTGCACTTCTCTAATGCAGTGCTTAAAAGCCCCTGTGTAAGGTAGACAAATGTTATGCCCATTTTATTTGTAGGGAAACAAATTCACTGAAAAATGAAGAGAGTTCCCTTAGTTGATTAATTCTGAGAGCTATTGACAACACTGGGCATAGAAACCAGGAGACCCTAGCTCCTTATCTTCTTGTCTCTTAGCACTACACCATATACCTACCCTTACAACCCAAACTTGACTATGAGGTTTTCTTTGCTCTTTGGTAAAGTAACAAAGAGGTGAAGGTTGCTTTGGCCCACATCTTTTTTGAGTTTTTCTCTCTGGACACCAGTTTGAGTGTTTTCTCAATTGCACTGAATACGTTGTTGATCTCCACTGGTAGGACTGTCCTGAGACACAGGACAGATGGCATTGCTGAGTGCAGTTTTAAAAAGAAAAATCAGTAAAATATGGAGGTATTTGGTGATTGCTAACAATAAACCATAAGCTGGAGGTTTGAACAAGAGGCTTAAAGGGTATGTACATTTAAGCACGTAGGTTCTAGTTATGAAGGACTGTGAAGCTGGAGATAGCTGTTAAAAATGTTTTTTTTGGAAAAAAATCAGCTCTGTTACATCATCCGGTTTTCGAGGGAGATTTAGGATTTGTGGCTAAGCAGTGTAGGAGGGGCCTAAGGTCTATGGACTGCACATGGAAGATTGCTTAAGTTTGGGGCTACAAATTGCAGTTCATCCTCTCCTTTTAACATGGTAAATTTAGTATGTAATTCCTAGGTGATATGTGACCACTGCCTGTGCATCCCTCAATATCTACTCGCATACCTTGAACAGTACTTGAAAGCTGAGCGGGGAAATATCTCTTTAGGCCAGTTGTAATGTATAATACAAATTGCTCACTCTCTTGCTCTCCCCCCCCATGTTTCCCCACTGTTCAGTGAGATTAGAATATTTTTTCTTCCCCTCAAACATCTGGTGTCTCCTTCCTTGGAAGTTATTAAGACCAGTTTAGACCGACATTTGGCAGGGATTGTTGAGTCAGAGATGATCCTGCCTGGAACAGGGGGCTGGACTAGACCAAGGTCATCACCTTGTGAGGTCCCTTCCAGCTGTATTTTCCTGTGATCCTATTTATCATGTTAATTTATAACAGGTTCATCTCTATGTTCTACAGAAATTAAAATGACTTGTTGTTCCTGATGAGTAAGTCAAGCCTGCCCTCCATTTCTGTCATCTACTCCACTCACTGATGGGCAAAGTATCCTTTGGCTACAGGCTCCATTAAAGAAGATCCCAAAGAAAACAACCAAGGCTTATAGAGCATCCAGATATGCTTTAAAGCAGAGGGAGCAGTAGGGCCTGTGCTCAGTTTCATTGTGGTACTAGGCAGAATATGGAAGAGAAAGGAAGTCTGGGAGAAACAAAACTAAGTGGCTCCTGAACAGGAAATCACTCTTGGCCTGGACTTTTGAAGTGGTTATACATGTCAGTTTTCTTTTGTTGCAGGCCTACAGCATTGTGTTGAAATATGCAAAATGCTTTGGCATCAGCAAGTCGGGATTTTGGAATTAATTCAGCAATGAATTAATTAACAGTAGCACAAAGTGCTCCTTTTTCCCCCAGGGCCTGAGAGTACTGCGTCCACAGTGCTATCAGGCTTTGCCAACTTCTGACTGATAGAGCAAGCTCTTGCATGGGATCATGTTGTTCTCTGACTGGTCATGGGACTGGTGCATACCCAAGTATGAAAAATTGCATGGTTTTTTAAATTGGATAGGATAAAAGCTGAGTAACGTGAGGATTGAGGCTCTGACAGTGAGCATTAAACATGTGAAGGTTTTTTATTTCAAAATAATAGAATCTTTCATGGACCACATTTTTCATAGCAAATTTTTTGATAGAAATATTTTGTTTGACCCTTCAGTGGCATGGCAGATATTGGCTTTAGTAGGATGGGCTTTTTAATTTTGAAAAGTAGAAACCACAACTGAATAGAAATAATTACTTCAGTGTATCATCTGTCATCCAAACAAAGCTTTCCTCAGGGTAACTTTGTGAAGACAAGGAGTTCTGCCCACTGCTGACTGCAACCACTGCTTCGCATGGGAAAAATTCTGCTGCAGCTGCAGTACACAGTTCTGATTTCAAGGGGATATTAAGCTTAATACATCTTTACAGGCTAGAGATTAAATAGGAACAGGCAGAATGTAATTACCTGAGTTGGTATGAGCCCTGCTTCTGTCTCATGTCATGAGAGCTAGCTCAGTTCAGACAGGGTTCTGTTATGGTGGGGGGGAGAGGCTGATTTGAGTGTGCACATATTTACCACCACACCAGACCCCACCTTTCTTACACAACAGCTTTTTGTTTTGACTCTTGGCTCCAGACTATCTTGTTATTTAGATTTTTCTTTTTAATTTTGTTTGAATGTATTGCTAATGACAGATGGCAGTTTGCGCATCATGGGGACTGAGGTCTGGCCCAGCAGGTAGAGCTTAAGATGAACTTCTGCATGACTGCCAGTCTTCCTTTACCTTAACCTAGAGTGGTTGTCTGTAGGGGTGAAACCTGGTTTAGTTTCCATGGCCAATTCTTTACTGAGCATGTGGTGGTGACTTTCTCATCAGCACTTGCCAGCTCACAAAGGCTATTAAACAACTCTCATTTTTTAATAACTTTTAGTTGCTACCAACTTAGGCTAGATTTGTCCAAGCAAATTAGAGAGTGAAAGTTTCCTGTGTGCACACCATTTTTCAGTTTCTTAAGTCATGCTAATTGCTCTTTGTTACCTTTCTCAAAAGGATCGTGGAGTTAGTAGCACTTTGTTCCAGAACCCAGCAAAGCTCCATCTGACTCTCGGGACACTGGTACTGCTGAATGAGCAGGAGATACAGAAGGCTTGTGAAATCCTGCAGAGATGTAAAGAGGACTTTGAGTGAGTAAAATAACGGCATGGTTGGCATTGGGCATGGTCACCAAGTTCAGATATTTCAAGAATCAAACTGGTTTTATGATAAAAGTACCTGTATTGCAGAGAAGAATGGCTCAGTAATTTGGTTCAGTTCAGCACTGATTGATTTACCTCTGAGATTTAAAAAGATGCTGAAACATTTCAAACAAAAACAGCAAGATTACTTAGCTGTAAGCCAAGGCAAGAATTGTGTTTTGCAGTTAAAAGCAAACACTTAGGATTCTTAGTCTGTTACTAGAAACCTCTGCTAGCTATTTCCTTTTCTCACAGCAGTGCCCATTATTTTTCTGTGAACAGTTTTTTTTTCTCTGCCTGCCACAAAAGCAGGAAGAACTCAGTTGCTTTAATGCTTTGTCTGTAGCACTCTCAAACAAATAGCCTCCCCTCTGCCTCAGAACAGATGCTGATACATCCCTGAAATGCATTTTCTGACACAAGTGGTTCTGTGAGAAAGTATTTAACACAGGATGAAATGTATAAGTAATCAGTATGGCATAGGAGTATTAATGCTCTAATAGTATTTCATTCCTAGTGTAAATTCATAATATTTGATGTTTAACTCTAAACTTGGTCTAATAGGTGCTGTAATCAGATTATCTCAGTATAATTCAGTAATATTAGCTAGCTGGGGGAGAGGGATAATTTTTTTTCCTTCTACACAATTTTTGCAAGGACTTTTGGCATATAGATTTTTTTTATTTTTGTTTGTTTGTTTGTTTTGTTTTTCTTTTGTTTTTTTGGGGGTTTTTTTTGTTTTGCCATGACCGTATAGGAATTCGCCAAGTAGATCCTTCTAATACCTTTGGGAAATCTGCATGGCTAAATTTCTATTCTGCTTTTAAAAATGGAGGCTCCAGTCTTTTATATTTGACAGAAATAAAAGTTATATAATTAAATAATTGTGGACTTTTAGTGGAAGTTTTGTGAGTAGAAAGTTTTGGCATTACATCACAAGGGCTGCCATCTTCTTTGTAAATAGGTCAGCTATGATAGAGAGACCCTTTTCTACAAATTATCATTGAATGGAAGAGCATTCCAAATCAAATATTTTCTCTAAATTACTTTGCCCTACTATTACATACTTTTCCCCTCCCAATGAGATGAAGATTCTTTCCATCCTTCTCAGCCCCTTCAGAGGGAAGGCAGCAACCTCTGTGGAATAAATAAGTTTTACCTTTATTGTTAAAAAGAATACGCTATTTCTTGTGTTTTGATAAGGCTTATAGATACTTAAAAATCACTTATTCAGTATAGTTTAAATAATATTTTAAGGGCACTTTGAAATATTCTTATAATATTTTATTGGCACATTAAAATGATAGCGGCTTTTCAAACCATACACCAGAATACAGAACAGTTTCCTTCTACATGATCTTTAAATGTATGGGAAACTGCATTTTAAATTTGTGTGTGAAATTAGCTGACATGCAGAAGGCCATCCTTGAGGCCTGGTCATGAGAACAGTGCCATTTAAAATTTAGGCTTTTTTAATTATAGCAACAGCTTATTTAAACAAAAAGATCAGTTGAACAAATTGAAGCTGTTTTATTTATCTTCTGCTAGTAAAATCCAAATAATTAGCATTTGGATGAAATTACCATATTTTCTCACATACCACACACCCCTATCTATAATATGTCCCTCACTTTTTAAAGGCAGCCTGAAGAAAAAATAACTTCCTTTGTGGTAACTGAGTAGCAGAAGTTAAAGAGCCAAGTCTGCTTATGAGCTGTTGCTAGCTCTGCATGCTGAATGAGGTCTGTGGACTGACCTGATGTAGGGAGTTTGGGACCACTCACTGGGTCTGGCCATGAAGCCCTGTGTGCCAGCCTGATCTAGCATGTAGGGCCATGTCATGTGGCTGGGGGGCTTTCCATGGGTCCAGAAATTTGGTGTGGGGAAGTACTGGCAGCATGACTTGTCCTGAGATTTGGCCCTGGGAGCCAGGATTCTCAGGGATCCCTATTTCTCACACATAATTCATACCTCAGTTTTCCACCAACTGGTTTTGTAGGGAAAAGACATGGGGTATGGAGTATGAGAATATGGTATTTTGGAGGAAATTGCAGAGTTGGATTGCGTGAAGCACCTAAAGAACCACATCATCCTATGAAGGGAAATTTCCCTGTTTAGAAAAGAAAATAATTCTTGAATAGACATGAACATATATATAGATGTTTGAATTCTTGTAGGTGTGTGGGGGCTAATATATATTCTCTGTTTTCGGGAGTATTTTCTGAATTAATAAAAAATAGGTGGGATAGATAAAAGGATGCTATTTATTGGTCAAATATCTAATGCTCGAGCTTTCAGGCCCTAAAGGTCCCAAATTAAGTTGCTGAAGAACTACGCATGTTCATTTACAAAGAATGTGCTTATGGGTTTTTGTTTTGTTTTTTGCAGGGTCATGGGGAACAGGGAGGCACAGTGGGGCCTACAGAGGCAAATCAAGGCAATAATTTTACCTTATGGACAGATGCAACTTTTAACTGATTTAAAAAGGGAGATGTGGGGAGCTGGCCTTCACATGCATTAGCTATTATGATGCAACTGTTACGTGTGCGTGTTGCTTTAGGGATACAAGTGAGCTAAATCCCTTGGAACTTTAACCTTGCATGAAACGGTGTTAAATTTTTGCTGTACCTGTATTGCTAATGGGAGCACAGTTATATCCTAACTGCTTATACCCATTTCATGTGATATTGGTACAATGGTTACATTTGTCTGTAACTTCTGATGCAGCATGTGCAACTGTGAAAGCTAACACTGTAGAGCAGCAAATTTCCAGGTCCTAAGAGAGAAGCAAGCTATTATGTTCTTGGAACTTCAGTGAATATGAGGATGTGGCAGATTACATTTGATTTAGGCTAGGAACTTGGGGTTCAGCTAGCATTTTTACTAGCACCTCTGCTTGACTTCTTCATGATCTGTGGGGTTTGCTAAAAAGTTGAATAAGGCTAAATGCACTAAAACCATGCATTCATCTAATTATGTTCACAATGTCTAAGGTGTTTCAGCTTGTTTTTTTTTAAGAGTGTATATTTTTTTTCCAGCAAAATTATTGGAGGCAAACCCCTCCCTGTGGAGATGACAGGGATAGAATACATGAATGATGACCCTGCCATGATGGATGTTCTTTATGCAAAAGTCTGCATGAAAGATAGATCAGACAAGTGAGTTCCCTGTGCTTTCCCTGTGTTTGTTCAACAGTAATGTGCAGCCAATATCCAAGGAAGCAATAATTTACTAAAGAAAATCTAGTCCTTTAAATTGGTAGGCACTGCCAGAGAGCATCTAATTATCTAGAAGTACTCCTCTCTCTAGCCCAGTTAAGTTAAAGCTGTGATATGTTTGCTCTTTACATCGATCTCTAGTGGTGTTGCTAAAAGATATAATTTTTTTTGTTATTCTTACTAGCTGAATAATCTAGTGACAGAAGGCTAAGCTCATGCTCTTTCATATGAGTGAGAAATACTGTACTTTGTGTGCAAAGTGATTAATTCCTTAATGTCCAGCTCCCAGTTTGTAAACTGGATCCAATCACATAAATGAATCTGTATGCTCTGACAGGTCCTGAAAATTTAAGTGGTATTAAAATGCAGTTATCTTGGTTACCCTTATGGTTGTGAAGAAGACCTGATGGGAGAGTTAGCCTCTGGGTTTGTAGGCAACCTGAAACATTGCCCTGAGCAGTGTGCAGTGTTCCTGTGCTTACTAGTGAGTAGGAAACCCTGAACCTTTCTGATAGAAGACCGAGTGTTATAATTTTTATTCATACTGTCAATCATTTTAGCAAAAATAATTTCCTAACATGTTTGCCTGTTATTGAGTGTAATGGCAAGGGCAGTGGTGCTGGGGACAGCCTTTCCCCTTGTGTTTTTAGAAGGGCATTATTGACCATGAAAGATCTCCTCAGTGCTTTTCTTTCTCCAAATGTCTTGATCTACCCTCTCATTGAGTCTCTTCTAATACAGTATGGGAAAGACTCATAAGCTGTTGTGTTTCCCTGCCTCGTGGTTATGAGAGGAGCAGGGAGTAGAGAAGGTGTTTGTTTTCTGTGTCCTTGAGGCAGCATCCCTTTGTCATCATTCCTTGTCACATTGTACAATGAGGAACTGAAATGGGGAGCTGGGAGAGAGAGACAGGAAGCAGTGCCTTGGAGAGAGAAGGAAGAAGTTAATTCTGAGCAATGGGTTCAACTGGGAAAAGAGGATCTGTTCTCAGAAATATCCCTTGCATAGGCAAATAGGGCTCCCTAAACTTTGCAAGGAAAATTACCCTTGGGTTTCAGATGAGAGATAGGAACTGGATGGGGGGGTATAAGGTGTAAAGCTCAGAGTAGGAGCCACTCTGAGTTGAGAGTAGCCCCTCTTTCAAATTTGAAGACTTGAAGTCAGTTGTGCCCCAAAAGAAGGGAGGGGAAAGGGAAAGAAAGTTACTAGCAGAAGTATAAACCAACAAGGAGACAGAAGGAAAATGACAAGAGAAATAAGGAATACCCCCATAGAAAGAGGAGGATAGGGGAACCAAAACAAAAATTGGTGGTACCCAAATGCCCTTCACTATATTTCAGTTGGTTGACTATGACAACTGCTAAAAGGATAGTTATTGTCTGGAGTCTATCCCCTACTCTTGATCTTTGTCAGGGTCTGATAATTTTGGATTATATAGAAATTGATGCTTTGCTGTGCTAGAGAGTCTAAATTTACATTTGGAAATAAGCCTCTGACCTAAGTGCCTGCTAAAGAAATCCTTTAAAATGCAAAGAGTGTAAAATGATGCCATGATGTCTGCCTGAGTCTGGAGACAGGTTGCAGTGATACTGTCTGCCTGAGCCTGGAGACAGGTTGAAGTGATAGGTACAAACACTTCAGTCAGATAATTTAGATGTCAGTATTCTCTATTGCACTGAGGGCTCACTTAAGAGTAACACCTATCTGAAGTGATTGTTTGTAGGGACCTACTTAAATTGCCATGAGACAAAGGGTTTTTTGCAGCTTGATTGTGGTGGGCAGAGGCAATTTCTCAGATATTTTATGTCGGTCCTGCCCCTCACTACTGATTGGTGGAGGGGTCCCGGCAGCCCCATCCCTTACTGTTGATTGGCCAAGAGGCAAAACCGTACATTTAAATAGCAAATTCTGCAGAATATCATATACATTGCCATATTATTGTAAATCCAAGTATTACATTTAAATATATTATGAATATAAATATATACACAATGTTAATTGTAACTTATATCTTCATAATTTATTATTAGCATTCTACAAAAAGTTTAGAAATACTAACCAATGATAACCTTGATATAAACAATTCATGTTAATTGTTAAATACTACCATGCAACATCCACTGCCAGTTGCAGCTGACATTCTTTGTCTCTGCGGTGTGAACACTTGTCTTATACCCTGAGATTGCACATTCTGTGTCCACTGAACTGGTTGTAATGCTAAGGCAGTGTTTTGCCAGGTTGTAGAGATGTGGAAACCAATCAGACACAGGCTCCCAACACGCAGTCACAGTAAAAGGCATCAGGCATTTTTTCACAAAGTTTATCTAAGCAGCACATTTGTTGTCATGTTCTTACTGCCATCCGGGGATTGATTTAAGTAGCTGAGGATCAAAACTCAGAAAAGGCACTTGATATGGGTAAAGAATGTGAACAGCACTAAAAAAGGAGGCAGACAGTAGTTTAAATCAAGGTGGGTAGTGACTGTACTTGTAATACCAATTTACCTTGGCAGCTATTGGCTGAAACAGTTCTTGTCTCCACTGGTTTTCACTTTGACAGTTTGAAAGTTGTTGTGATGCCATTTTTTCGACCCAGCTTATCAAATCCATCAGCTTGTTGTGTACTTGGTGAATAAAAGCCTGCCAACTTTCAAACCATGTTAGAAGCTTCAGGAACCAGATTGTATTTTCAGCTACAGATTTACTTGATCTTTAATGTTGCCCTGTGTCCCAGGAGGCAAAGTAAGGCAGGGCACTTACCTGCAGCTCGGGGCAGAGTGCACGTGGAGCGGAGAGAGGAACCCATGCGGCTCGTTAGCTGCCTCTTTTGTACAGCTGTGGCCGGCTGGTGAAGTCAGCGTCAGACGCCGGCCGGCGAAAATAAAAATGGCAGCCACTGCTGTGAAGGGGGCAGATAGCCAGGAGACAAAGCTGCAGCTGATGCCAGCTGCAGGGTGGGCTCCACGAACAGACCCCGAGGAGACCAATGAGCCTCAGGTAACATTGGCTGGGGGAGAGGAGCACCCTGTCGAAGACCCCTGCTGAGCAACGGAGGAGCGACTGGCTGGCTGAGTGAAGGGAGAGCGGAAGCGGCCCCTTAGAGCGCAGCAGGACCCAGGTGGGAGTGCCGGGACAGTGGGGCGTGGAAGATGACGCGCCAAGAGGCGAAGACCCAGGGACAGCCCTGAAGGGGGTTGCAATCGGGGCGGGGATTGCCGCCAGGGCCCGGGATGTTAAGCGATGGATCTGAGCTAGTCCAAGGAACAACAAACAGAGTGTAGAGTCATCCCTCCCCTTGAAGGGTCCAAGGACAGGGAATAGGTGGCAGGTTGGTGAAGATGTATTGGTTTTGTTTTGGACCACCCTGAGCTGGGGACAGAGGCTATAGAGGTGCGCCCTCATGGTGGGGCCGCAGGGAAGCTTTGGTAGGGGCAATAGTGGGGAAGGGTCCCCACGGGATGGGATTGAGGAGTGAAGCACCGCAGGAGCTAGCCCGCAGGGCGAGCAGAGCCTCCCGCCATTGGCTTCGGGACGCAGAGCGGCAGACGTGATCTGTGGGGAAGACCTCAGATAACAATGAGGCGGTCCACCAAAGGTGGCGTGAGGCCGGGGTATAGGGGTGGCGGAGCCCCGTGAGCAACCGTCGGGCCTAGCCCAGGCCACCGAGGGACCTGCTAACTAACCCTGCCTACTGAAGAACACCAAGACATGGCAGACGAGAACAGGGTCTGTGACGCGGGAGGAAAGAACTACCTCAACGACAAACCAGCCCGGAAGGCGGGGACATCCTCCAAAAGACCAGAGTTGCCCCAGAGCGGCTAGTTGAAGCCCGGCGGTCACACCCTGTTTTAAGAGATCATGTAGTTTAAGCATGCACTGTATTCTGGGTGTGATTTCAAGCTCGGTCGTCATGGTAATGAACTACGTTAAACCACAAATTCTACCTTGTGAGCACTGGTTCTGGTGGAAGTGACACAGCTGGATTTAGATCCCTACTTCGATTGTCAGTGAATTCCCTGTATCCAACTTTATGGCCTGGACAATGTTTGAATGGTTTTTTAAAAGAGGAAACCAGTCTATCCACATAAGGAAAATGCGTGCGCCAGATATCACTTAGTAAAGAAAGAATGTGTACATTGCAAGTAACATGAATTTGTGTTGGGCATCATTCTGGAGAGTGCATCAGAGAAAGCTTTGCACATATATACATTGAATTACCAGAAAGAAATGCTGAGATCTTGTTAAATTCTAAGCCATAGTTTATAATAGCCTTTACTACAGTTTGTTACAGTTGAAATATTTACAGAAATAAGTTGAACTAGTTCTATTTGAAAAACAGACAGGTCTGGGTCTTCCATCTCCCTGGTACAAATAAAATGTGGAGAACATAGTTATCCTGGGCATCTGTTGTTTTGTCTGCTACAATCAACACTGATTTTTATTTTGCCAGTTCAGATTTTGCAGACTAAACGTGGATAATCATGGCAAAGTTTGTTTGCATATGGGAATCTTCCAGCATTTGACACGTGCTTGTTCAAGTAGTCCCTTAATTTTGGGTTATCAGTTTTTTCCAGAGGTATGTTGGCAGCCATGAATGCTTCCACTACCTTGAAAGTAGCTTCTCTTCTTGTTAAACTGCTTTCAGTGGTTCTTTTAAACATTGAGCACATCGTTATTTGTTTCTTGCTCTTTCAGCCTCTCCAGAAGTCTTTCACTTTGTATGCAATTTGGACTCTAAATGCTTTTTCTCAATGCATCCAAAGTCATGTTGCAAGATTAATAAAACAATTTACCACCATGAGATGCAATGTTCCTACAGGGGGCTGCATTACATGATCCTGAGATGAAATATATTTTGCTATTTTGGATTTCTTTTCACTCATCTTCAGACAGTGGCATTGCTGCATTGCATCTAGCTTCTTAAAAAATGGCACCAAAACA